GCATCCAGAGCCCTTTTGGGATGCAGTTTATCAGGGGCTTGGCCAATGCCCCCTCCCATCACCTGCCCCATCTCATCACAAATCAGGGAACCGCTGCTATCATCTATGGGGGATGATATGCCCTTGAGCTTGCTCCTCCAAGGACACACAATCGTGCTCACACCTCATGTTGTACCTGGGGCAGCCCCTGATAAAACTCTGGACAAGGTGCAGGAAAAATGGGGATTCTGGCACTGAGATCAGCTCTCTTAGCAATCAGGTGACAAGACAACTGTGTGAGGAGAAGGCAGGCCTGAGTTCACAGAGCATTTCAGGGCTGGGGATCTGTCCACAGCACCAAAATCAAGAGCCCTAGTGCACAGTCTGGCATGCACCCTACTGATCTGTGAGGCTACAGCTTTATATTAGGATAGCAGGTAGTGGGCAGTTTTTGTCTCACTTCCCTGCAGGCCTGCAGCATTGTGCAAGCACTCCCAGTCCAGGTAACACAGTAATACATAGCATCATCCTCTTCCAAGGCCCCAGTGATGGTCAGATAACCTTCCTTGTCAGAACCAGAGCGAGAGCCAGTGAACCGGCTGGGAACCCCAGAGCCTAGGCCATTTTTAGACTCAGTGAAAAAATACAGCAAGCTCCTAGGGACATTCTCTGGTTTCTGCTGACAGTGTAACTGCCCCCTAATGTGCAGGAGAGCCGGACCGTCCCTCCTGGAGACACAGATGCCATGGGTGGCTGAGTCACCTGTGCACAGCAACCTGCAGAGAGCAGAGAGCAGAGGTTGGACATCATGATTTTCTCTACAGTTTTGTCTGAACACAGTTTTGAGGCTCTGAAATTAGTTCACCACCAATATTCTGTACCAATTACCTGCCAAAAATAGTCCCAGGAGGCAGAGAGGCAGAGCAAGCTGGGCCATGGTGCAGGGAGATGGAGAGAGGACAGCAGGAGCTGGGCTCTGGATCTGAGGATCTGCTGCTTTATGGCCACTACCCAAATGTGTGAAACCCTGGAGCTGCTTTTAGCACCTTTACAGGCAAAGTGAAGGAGCTCAAAATGCAAATGAGTCCCAGGGCTCAAGAGACAACTCTATGTCTTGTGAGTCCTTAGAAGTCCAGCCAGAGCAGCCCAGTATGCAAAATATATGCGCAGTGTGGAGTTGAGACAGCTCTTGGGGAGCACCAAACATTTTCTTGATGAGGGCACATTCATTAAGAGAACTGCCAGAATGGCTTAGAGCATTGCTTCACGTAAACCAGTGTTGTGTCTCCGGCAGTGACCAGGGAGTTCTTGATCTGGATGCCTCCCTGGCACCTCTCTGACTCCTGAGAGCAAAGGACAATGGCAGAAGATGCCCCTTCTGGAAGTGTTATAGAGAAGGAGGTCCATTTTGCAGGGCAAGCTGACAGTCTATGACCCTGAAAAGCCACAAGCTGAAAACTAGCATAAGGAAATGCTTCATAGGGCACGTCCACACATGCAAGCACGTGTGCTTGCAGCAGCTCAAATAGAAGTGGTGCAAATTTGAGCTGGGGCTTTTTGCCTCAGCTCTCAGACATGCACTTTGTTGTGGAGCAAATTGTGCCACTTGGGGCAAAATAACGCTGCCTGGCTTCTCCCAGATATGCAGCCAGGGGGAACTAGAGCCTGAGGCCAGCACCTGTGCTGTCCCCAGCAGTATGAAAAGCTGCCCTGGCAAGCAGCTCTGGGCTACTCGCTCTCCAGAGCTTCTGGAGCTCAGCCACTTGGTACCTGGAGACACTACCGCTTGTGCCAGCTGGACTGCTGCAGCAGCATCCCAAATCCATTTTTAAAAATATCCCAAAATCCATGTTTTTCCACAACATAAAAGACCACTCTATACACACACACACACACACACACACACACACACACATATATATATATATAGACAGACAGACAGACAGACAGAGAAACAGTGATCAGGTGGGTAATGCTTTATTGGTATATTTACAATGCTAAAGCAGTTTGGAAGCCTACCAGTGTCTCTCTCATCATGATAAAATAAATTCTAAATACATATATGTGTTGATGTGTGCTTTTGGTTTTCTTCACACATGATGGGTGTGAGATGGGGGGATGTGGTGTTTGCAG